TTTTGGTTCCATATAAATTTTTGGATTATATTTTCTATTTCTGAGAAAAATGCCCTAGGTAGTTTGATGGGAATTGCATTGAATCTATATATTGCAGAGCAGAAGTTTTTAATCTTAACAGAATCCAACTTAACAATTTTTTCTTTCATGGATTGCGCTTTTGGTGTTACATATGAGAAGACACTGCCAAACCCAAGGTCGGTCACCTTTTGATTTGTTAATTTTTGTGAAAGGTATAAGATCTATGTCCAGATTGGTGTTGTGTTTTTTTTGCATATGGATGTCTAGCTGTTCACTACCATTCATTGGAAAGATAATCCTTTCTCCATTGAATTTCCTTTGCTCCTTTGTCAAAGATCAATTGACTCTATTTGTGTGGGTCTATTTCTGTACTCTCTATTCTGTTCCATTGATTTATCTATATTTTTAATTTATTTTTTGCCAATACCACACTCTCTGAATTACCATGGCTTTATAGTCAGTTGTGAAATCCGGTTGTGTCAGTGTTCTGACTTTGTTCTTCTGTATTGTGTTGGCCTTTCCATACAAACTTTAGAACCAGTTTGATGATATCCTCAAAGTAAGTTGCTGGGATTTCCGATTGGAGATTGTGCTGCGTGTATAGATCAAATTGGGAAGAACTTACATCTTAATATTGAGTCTCCCTATTCATAATATGGACTGTCTCCATTTATTTAGATCTTCTTTGGTTTCTTTCAGCAGAGTTTTATAGTTTTCCTCATAATACAGATTATAAAAATTTTAAAAAAGATTTGTACCTAAGTATTTTACTTTACTGGGAGCTACTATAAATGTTGTGGTGGTTTTAACTTCAAATTTCATTTATTCATGGCTGGTATATAGGAATGCAGTTGATTTTTGTGTATTAACCTTGTATCATACAGCCTTGATATAATCCACTTATTATATCAGAAATTTCTTGTTGATTCTTTGGGATTTTCTACATAGACAATCAGGTCATCTGCAGACAAAGACAGTTTTATCTGTTCCTTCCCAATGTGTGTACCTATTATTTCCTTTTCTTCTTATATTAGCTAGGAATTCCAGTAGGATATGGAATAGGAGTGGTTAAAGGGAACATCGTGGCCTTGTTTCTGATCTTAGCAGGACAGCATCTATTGCAGTAGTTTCTCAATATTAAATATGATGTTAGCTGTAGACTTTGCACTCTTTATTTAAGCATAGCCACAATTATTTACAGAGGATATCAGCACAGCCCATTCTTAACTAAAGCCTAATAAAATTAGTATTGATTCATTAATGCTATCTAATATCTAGCCAGTGTTCAGATTTCCTTGACTGGCTCAAAACTGTCTAAACAAGATCCACATGTTGCATTTGATGGATATGTCTCTTAAGCCTCCTTTTATTCCATAAACGTGCTCTTGCATGTGTCTCCTCCCCCCGCCATTAACTTGTTCAAGGCTTTACATTTTTAAGAAAATTATAAATATGTCAATTTACTCTTCAGTACTTCACTTTCTTTTTTTCCCCCACATCCTCTTTGCTATTTTTATTGTATATATTTCATCTATATACATTTTTGAGATACAATTCACATACCGTAGTATTCACCCTTTTAAAGTATGCAATTTAGTGGGGTTTTTTTTTTGTTATATTAAAAAAAATTATCCAACCACCATTGCTTTCTAATTCCAGAACATTTCATCACTTCAAAAGGAAACCCTGTAACTATTAGGAGTCACTCTCCATTCCCCTCTCCCCCAAAGCTCTGGCAACCACTTATCTACTTTTATAGATTTGCCTATCCTGTATATTTCTT